CCCCACCACCTTGCGTGAACTTTTTTTCGCGATAACAGTTTGCAGCAATTACCCACTTGCTGGCGGCCTTCCAGCACATCTGCGCTTCTCTCCCCGGTTATTTTTGCCCTTTTTCTCTCGCCTCCCCACCCCTCCCCGCTGTATTTTTGCTGGCTGCCGTGCGCTAACCTCAAGTAAGAGGCTGGTACAGGCAGTGCTCCATCTGATGCTAATGGGCCTACCTGGTGGGTAATACGGCTGCTGCTTCTTCCTTTTTATTCCCCTCGTTTTCCTCTGATGTTGTTGATCCCTGGCGTGCTGGAATCAAAGTTGTGATTGGGGCTTGGAAATAAGAGGCAGGGACTGCCCAGGGCAGGTTACCGAGCTCAGCGCGGTGCGAAGGGGCGATAATTCTGGGTTCGTCTCGGGGTAACTTGGATCTAAAATTCACCCACTGGCTTTGAGATAATGAATGCCCATCTCTGCCTGATATTGTAACAGGCGGCATGTGGGAGGACTTGCTAAGGTTTCCATATAAGAACATGGAAGAATTTATTTCACACAGGCTAAGAAATGTGCAGAGTATGTGTTATTTATGAAATGGAAGGCAAGCTGTGTTTTCCTTAGGCAGCTTCGAGAGTGGCAAAACTTTGTATTTAGAAATTGTAAAAGCTGATTTCTGCTGTTTAATAAGAGCTCTGTTTAAAGGAAAGCACCGGTGGAAAAAAAAAAGTAGTGGGAGAGGATCCAGAAAAACATGAAGAAATACAGCCCCACACGTATTCCAGCACTGTTTGTGCCAAGGTGTAAAGATGGAGTTTTTTGGTTAGTTCCCATTTTTTTAACCGTATTGGGAAAGGCATTAAGAAAATGTGCCGAGAGGAGCTGGTTACGTTGATAGTGCTATTTTGGTAACTGCTTTTTTTTTTTTTTTTTTTAATTGCTTGCATGTCAATGTTTCGAGTTTTGGACTAGCAAAAAAGTGAGGCAGCCCTGATCTGGGGCCGTGTCATCGGCTGTGTAATTTGGGGCTCAGATGACAGGTGCTACAGGTTTAAATTTTCTGGTTTTAGGTTTGAGGGTAAATCAGCCCATTAAAACCTGCTGCTGTGGAATTTGGAGGGGAGAGGCTTTGGTGAAAACCCTGATGGTTTTCGACAGCCGGGTATTTACCTCTGGGTCTGTATTTGGGTGAGCTGAGTGCTTTTTGGCATTGCCTACCTTTGCACGAGTATTACGGAAAGACTCCCCTGAAGGTTGTTGCGGTTTTTTTAAGGCAGAATGTGTGAGCAGTTGAGGCAGCCAGCAGCATGACTGTGTCCCTCGCCCAGAGTCAGTCGAGGCTGAAGCACGAGTGTGGCAGGAGGATGTCTTTGTTGCCCTGGTTTAACTGACCCTGGAAACTTTATTTTTGGCACTTTCAGAGATAGCATCTTTGTGTTTCCTCTTCAACTGTCTCTTCTCTGCTTTGCATGTTTGTTGTTTTTTGCTTTTTTTTTTTTTTTTTTTTTTTTTTTTTTTTCTCTTTATTTGCCTGCACCTCAGCTTCTCTCTGGTTCTTCCCCTTCCCACCTCTCTCGGGGTTTGGGCTGCTTTGAGGTTGCACCCACAGGAGGGCGACAGACACCTTTCCCTCCCCGTGGGGTCCCTCCCGGTGCTGGGCAGGGAGGGGGCCGGGACACCCAGACCCCTGCCTGCAGCCTGACCGAGAGAGGAAAGGCTGCTTCTTGTTGTCATTTATTAACCCGCATCTTTCACTGTGTGGCGTTAGGGTTATTTTGCCACACTTTGCAAAAAGCAGGAGATTGCAGATGGCACAGTGGTATTTGGAGGTACCGAGAAGGTGTTTCCATGCTTGGGGGTGCTAGATCAAAATCCTGGGGTTTTTGTCTGTTTGTTTAGAGATCTTGGTCTAGAAGCCAGTAGAAATTTGGAATCCTTCAAACGCTACTAATTTTTTATTTTACTTGACTTTGCTGTAACCAGGGGCAAAATTTGGCATACTACCCTTTGTTGGTAGTCCCTAATTTGTAGCTTTTGGGTGGGATGCCTGGAGGTTTCTTAAATGTTAGGGGTGAAATGTTGGGGCTGTGGCAGGAGGCTTCAGTCTGTGTGAAATGCTGTATCAAAAGAGGTGCAGCATTGCCTTGGAAGAACAAGAAGACACTTTGGATTGGCTTAGTCTCTCTGCAGGGTGCTCGGGAAACCTCCCGTGTCTGAGCGCAGTTCTGTTTGTAAAGCCTCGGTGAGGATCTTGTCTTACAGCTAATCATTGCAAATATTTCAGTGAATTTTCCTGAAATCGATACTCTGCCTAACCAAGACTGAGCTACATCTTAATGGCCTCCAGCCAGGTCCCGTGGGGTGGGTGTTTCCAAAGAGACTCCCAGGCACGAGCCTTTCAGCAGGCTGCCATGCTTCCTAGGCAGTGATGCTCCCAGAATTTTCATCACTGCACCTCAAGACTCTGCAGCAAATCCCATTTATTTTAATTCTGCCCCTTCTAGGTTTTCGAATGCCCTTTAGTGGCAATGGGTCAACATTGCCCCAGTGCCCCAGTAGCACTGTTGCCAGGTCCACCAGTGAGAGGAGTCTTTGCACTGGTGCCCTACCCAGACTCCTAATCATGCTGGCAAACGACTCTGAAAAGATTATGCTGATTTGTTTCTTTAAAATTTAACCACGTTACAACACATAAAAACGGACAGGAAAGCCATGGTAGTTAAAGCCTTTTTACAAGTAATGCTTATTTGATTGGTCATACTAATAAATTGTAGATCATTTAAGAAGTGCAGCTTTGAATAGATTACCCAGTAGGATTAGTGCCTTTGACTTCTCATCACTGACTTAATTTACGTGACCAGAATGGATCAGGGTTATGTTTTTTAAAGTAATCCTGAGCCCAGTTCTCTTAAGTGCTCCAGGCACAGAACTAGAGTTTATTCTAATGTAACTCTGGGGGGGTGGCTTGCGGGATCGAGTCCTTGGCATTTGGAAGAAAAAGCATGAGGGTGAAAGTGCAGTGATTTAATATTTGTTGAATTTCTTCCATACATGCATATTTACTTGAATGCTCAGCTGTTGTAGTGCCATGGATTTAATTGATTTGTGCTCGATGAGTATCATCCCGAGGCATGTAAACTCTAGGCAATACCCTTTAATTGCTTACGGAGTAGCTAATATTGATATAAGATAATGTGGTAGAAATTAAGTGAAACTGCCACTCTTCATTGTCCTTTTTTTTCCCCAAAACCAGCCACTGGAAGGGCTGCCATGCTGCCAACCTGTGACTCAGAAACTGTGGCTGGTGTCCTACAGCATCTTCCGTATTTCTAGAAGTCTCTGTCTTTTCTTTCAATGTGTCTAGATTTAGACCTTCAAAAAGCTGCTGAGTGCCCACCCTAAACCCTGCTCCAAGAGCATCTACCAAAGCCACCAGCTGCGTTGGTGGAAGGGGAGCGTGAATCAGATCCACATCTTGCCAAGCGAGCTTTGGGCAGGAGGCACGTGGCTGCAGGAGGGTGGCTGTTAAAACCCATGGGCTGCTGGGAAGGCTCATGAATTTTAGCAGTTACTGGGTTTCCTGTTGTGGTTCTCTTGTCACCCAGAATGGTCACAGCCTCCAAGAACGCCTTCGCTGCCGTGGCTGCCTGACCTGGCTTTGAATGCAGTCGGCGTTTGAGCACTGGCATGGAAAAACGAATACCCTGGGCCAAAACACAGCAGGAGTGCCCTGCTTTTGGGTGTTGGTGTAGGTAGGAGAGCAACCCGTACGTCAAGCCGCAAGGTTATCAGTGAGCTGGAACATAGTTAAAAGTTCTTCCTTTTTTTGCTTCAGATCACATGGCATTTGCATTTTCTTTCACTGCTGCAGTGTAATTTCCTTGCTCTTGACATGGATGGAATCAGATTTTCTGTGATGTTTCACATGGGATGAAAGAAGCGAGAAATGATCTCCTGTTTTGGCATTGGTACTACATTCAGTGTCTTGATGTTCCTTCAAATACAAGTTCAGACTGATGAAATTCAGAAAACACTATGCATGATAACATTGAAACATGTCTGACCTATCTTGCTAGACCCATTTTTTTCTTTTAAAATATTTTTTTTGCCTTTTCTTTTTCTCTTTTTATTTCCAAACAGGAAGAGAAAATCCATTCAGGAGAGCCTCTACTTCATGTAAGTGTTATTTATACCTTTTTATGAAATTACAAAAGAGTTATAAAGCTCATTAAAACGTTCAAATACTGAACATTTACCATCTGTTTATAGAAACCAAGAATAGAGCATGTAAAAATAGGTTGTAGTTATACAGTAATAATGCTCAGCAACTGTTATCTTAAATCTATCTGTGCAGTTCTTCTGTGCATATCACTGCAGAATTTAGAAACCATTGCAAAGCACTTTGCAGACATTTAAGCAACGTGCCCGTAAAGTTGGTGTGTAAATCCTGGAGGGATAATGTTCAAGTGATTTGCCCAAAGCAGATGAGACCCGTAAGGGAGAGCTCGTTTTAGCACCCCAGAGCCCTCGATTCCCACACCCTGTGACAAGAGTCAGCTTCTCTGCCTTGGATCCTACAAAATCCAAGTTCTGCCTATAGAGCCATTTGTGTGTGCATGTGTACTAGCGTGTGCATGGATACGTGTGGGTAAGAGAGAGCGCGTGTACGCGTATTTGGCCTCAAATAGCCTGTAGGTATTTCAGGCCTTTTCTACAACCTATGGTGATACCCATTAAAATCAGAGTAGATGCCACCAGCCGTTGGTGAATACTGTTGCAAATGTTTTGTGAAAGCATTTGGCTCCAGCCTGACTGCTCGGTCGGGGTGAGCCCGGTACAGTATTCTTCATGGGACTAAGAAAGCCGCATGTCATAAAAATACAACAGGGTTTTATTTTTCCACACCACCTAGTGACCGGGTTTGCTTGCACATCTCAGATTTGAAAACTCTTTTGAGTCATATAGGAAGCTCTGCTCTGGTATTTCTTCCTAGTAAATAAATCTGATTTAATGGTTTAAGGGGCTGCGTAGATGAAAACCCTCATTCCCTTAATGCAGAATTAGCTTAGCAAGGAAAACGACTGCATTGTTCCCAATGCAGGACCCGCTTTGCATAACTTCCAAGCATGTACTACGTCCAGTGGCATGGCAAGCCCACGAGCGCTCACCTCAGGCTGATTTCCCATAAGTCAATATTTTTTTTTTTTTTTTTTTTTTTTAAATAACATATATCTTGGAATTGCAGCACTCCATGTCGCTTGCGTAGCAACTGCTGGTTAATATGTAGCAAAACGCCGTGTGGTAACAAATGGTTTTTTGCTTATTGTTGAGCTGGAATGTTAGTTAGTTCAGCTTCTAGATAAAAGTGGCTTGCGCAAGGCGCCCCGGTAGAACATGAATTCTGTGGCTTGTTCGGTAGTTCTGTAGGCAACCGTGTTCTGCTTTTCCTCTCCCCTCTGCTTCCCTTCATCTTCCACGTGAGCGAGGGGTGGGCTTAGGTAAAGGCAGGGAACTGGCAGCTCTTTGCATCCCGCAAAGCACCAGTGTGGGGTTTATATTAAGCCCGTTGCTAGTCAAGCATCTGTTGAAAACACTCTTTATTCTGGTTGTGTTGCTAGCAGAAATGTTCTAAGACGCTTTATATAATAGCTTTAAACCACAAGTGTTCTTTGGCTGGTTTTATGGATATCATAAGACAATCTTTCAAACAAAAAAAAGAAAAAGCCAGTAGTAGGTGAAGGATACCCCACAAAGGATTAAAGAATCCTCCTTCCCTGCAGCTGGAATCCTAGCTGAGACTAGCTTAAGAGTTTGTATCTTTGAGAAGGTACCTCATCATTTTTAAAAGGTAATGGAGAAGGAAAAAAATCCAGAGGGCTTTTGATTATGACCATTTTCAACATTTGTAGCTCATTATTATTTCATTCAGACGTCTTGAAAAGCCTGTGAAGCACATGCTTCCCAGAGATTTTAAATGGGAAACAGTGCAACAAAACCACCTTTAGGGAAAGAAGCTCCCAAATAGAGAAGAACCCGAACAGATGAACCCTGCAGCAGTGACTGTATGGTGTCTGGAAACTGCAAGAATAAGCTTGTAGCACAGATCTGAAGAGTTTTGTCTGGAGATTTCAGTATGACAAACAAGTAATCGGGAGCTTCCTAAGTACAGTACCTATAAAATGAATGAATAATGAAAAGTTTGTGGTCATTTACAGTGGCAGAGGCCATTTACGGTGCAGCCTTCCATCACCTGCTGTGGCTTTTCAACGGCTAACGGCAAGCTTTGAGCATCAGAGCCTCTCTCTTCTGGTTCTGTGCATGAAATTTTACAACTTTGACTCGATAACTCTATTTGTGCCTGTCTGTGCATTGGCTCCCCTTGGCTTCTTCAACTGTGTGAGTTTCCAAAGGAGAGTTAAACTCCAGGAATGGGAATAGTGAGGCCATAGCAAAGCGGCAGGATCATGAACATCCAGGACAGGGACCTCTCCCAGGCCCCATTCAGAGGGGGTTGACTCCTGTGGCGGTGAATGCTCGGTGGGGATTAACCCCTCAGGACTGTGACTTGGACCGCTCACTGTGACAGGAGGTGACCACTTTGAGAAAGGACCCTTTGTGACAGTAACCAGCCATATGTAGTTGTAATGATAAGAAAGGGACCATCTGATTGTAGTCACTTTGCGACAAATACTACCACAATTCATTACTTTCCATCAGTGCCTCATCCTATGGAGGAATCACCACTGCCCATCTACATTGAGGAGGGGACAGAAGTCCCGATTGGTGAGTGCAGTCGGGATGGGATATGTTTAAGGGGGGGTATAATGGTACTTGGGTTTTATATTCCTCACATTTGTGTACACCCATTTGTCATTGAAAATTGTAAGGCCTGTTGCAAATGTTTTGGGGGTTTTATTTTATTAATGCAAGTGTATTTTAGAGCACCTGAGATCGTTAAATATTGCTAGTGTTGGTTTTCAGCTAATCATAAATCAAAGGATACAGTTTATGCAGTGACATTGAAAGCTTCCGTGCAGGATCTCTTAACACAAGGCTGGGGAAGACCATGAGTATCAGAAGTTCCCACTTCAGCCTTCGACCTCGGTGTTGAGGTACTCTGCTGACTGGGGCAGCAGTTTTTGTCTTGCTGACACTGTCCTGCCTGGCACCCAGCAGACTCGTGTTGGACACCCCACTAGGTGTTGGGCACCCCTAGCCAAAGAGAGTTAGAGAGGTTTGCCGTTACCTGCGTTGCACATCGGAGTGCTGCACACCCCTATTTCTGAGCTCTGGTGTGGATGTCTTGTCACTACAGGGATATATAGGTTTGGGTGTGAGTTTTGTTTTTTTAAACAGAGGAGCAAGTCTTTCAGATAACCCAGAGAGAGAGACACTAAGATCCATAAGTTGGTCTGTGGTGATCTCTTTGGACTGTAGAAAGCTGTGACTCAGTTGCATACAGTAAGTGTGCCTTGGCTACCACCTTGGGAGTCTGCCCTGTTGAGCAGATGTGTCTCTTCAAGTAACTTTTTCTTACCCTACATCCTGAATTTTTCCATTCCTAAATTCAAGTAATTGCTTCTTGTCCTACTGTCTTTTGAGCTAGATTAATTACCTTCCTCTACACACAGTACCTTGAAGGTATTTATAGCTGGATCGCAGCCCAAGAGTCTTCTCATTTATAGACCATATTAATTTAGCTCTCTTACTCTCTCCTTAGATCATTTTTATTGTCCTTATTTGTATTTCCTTTACTTTTTCTATCTCCTTGCTAATCTGTGGAGACTTGAATAGCTCTTGCTATATCCACTGTGGTTGTTTTGATAGAGCATTATGCTTTAGATTTCCATATCGTCCCTTCGTATGTACACATCCAGAAATAGCTTAGCTTTTGACCCTTCTCCTGCATCACTCAGTAGCATCACACAGAGAAACTGTTATTACTTGGCTAATCTTACCTGCAGTCACCTTTAGGTCTTTCTTGGATTCACAGCTTTGCAGCTAGCTGCTCCTCAGGCAATGTCACTGCTTTCCTGAGATGTTTAGGGCTTTTTACTTCCTAAATCCCCATCCCATTGTGTGCTACTTATTTTTTTTACCCAGGAATTATTTAAGACAGTATGTCTATGTCTTTATTTAAATGCCCTGGGATTTTATCATTTATGTAGAAGTTGTTACTGTTTTATCATATGTAGAACAAAGAAGTACTTAGTACTTATTTCGATACCTACTACAACTGTCCTCTGCACATTACTCCAGACTCCTTTCCCAGCTCCATCATACTTGTTTGCATACCTCCCCTAACTTTTCCCTCCTCTAATTATAAAAGTTCATAATGTAAAAACTGACAGGTTTAGACTTTTCCTTGTCTTCATTTTGTACCCTTCTTTGTTAGTGTATTGTTGCTGTATCCCTTCTATGCATGGCACAATGTGGTCTTTCCCACAGCAGATCATCTCTTCCTCACCTCTTCTGGGGTTGTCGTCAGCTGAACATCTGCTCGACAGCAGTCCCCTCTTGTAGAACCATTGAGGCTAAGTTCTGTCATGGCCCCCTGGTATTTCATCTTATCTTTCCCATTGCAATGAGGAAACCTGGACTGCCGGGACGGTGGCACCTACACCAAGAAAAATACTGTAAGACTGTCGGATCACAAAACTTTCCAAACAAATAAACCCATGAGTGGAAAGCTTTTTAGAAGATGTTTGTTCAGTGCTGTCATGAAGCAGGTTTGTTGAATCAGGCTCTGAAATGCAGCAGTAGCTGTGAAATGGCCAAATTGGGTTGGAGAGGGCATCGTGTTTACTTATTTTAAATAAGTATCTGGACTGTCAATACAGCAAGCTGTGGTTGAGGGGGAATGAGTGGAAAAAGTAAATGATGCAGAGATGAGAACAAACCACAAGCTCCGAGTTTGGCATTTGAATGCCTGACATAGGTCAGGGCTTTTATAATAGTTGGATGCAGTATAAATCATCAAGCTAGAAAGTCGGCTGCAAAATTCTGATCTGGATCTGAGTCTCAGTTTTGGTCCTGCTTCCCGTTGAGCTTACCAGGGTGCCCATCTGTACCCAAACAGGAATAAAAAGAAGTCCTGTCTGAGTTTAGGTTAGAGAAGAATAACGTGCAGTGCAGTTGTTAAAACAATTCAGCACAACCATCATTTACTTTTAAAAGGTTGTTTGGAGAACTTAGATTATTTCCTCATCTAAAACACATTTTGGATAGTATATGGAGTGCATACTGTTCTGGCCCAAGCCTGACTGGTGGTGGTAGAATGCTTTGTAGCTTCTATATTTATTTTTAAAAATGGAGAAATCAGTAGGTTCCTTCACAGTCTAAATTTAACAGCACTAATTATTTCAAGCAATTTGAAAAGGAACATAAATCGCACTTGTTTATTACAGCTGCTGCATGAAAACAGCAGAAGCTACAAATAATACCCCATAATGAAAAATCTAGCTAACACTGTCATGAATTAACCAACAAGAGAAGAAGCGTATGGGATCTGGACAAAGGCAGCATTTTCTTCTCTGGAGGGAGGGTCTTTGCGTTGAGGAGAAGGTGGTTATTCCCTAAATCTCCTTGGGTGAGATGAAGACTTTGACATTTCTGCATAGATGAATACAACTTTTGATTGGAAAAAGGTCTGAGCTCTACTTAATTTTTATGTACATTTGCACTTTCTCAAGTACATTCCTAGAGGAAGGTAGGTGAGCGAGATGTAGCAAACATGTTAATAAATCAAAGATATTTCTAAGGAGATGGATAATATTTTGTGAGCACTAGCAAAGAATCTACAGAATAACAATAAAAAAATGTAGGTCAGACCCTGACAGTCTTTGTTCAGCCACAGTTTCAACTGTCTTCCACACGATTAAACAGTTCAGGAGATTCCAGGTGAGGAAATAGGCAGAGCAGGTCATTATTCACCCTTGTCGTGCATGCTAAGGCCATGATCATATTCCCTGATGACCATTTGAAACCTGTTGTGTTAAAAGTTGAAGAAAACACCCGAGGCCACACAGTCCAAATTTACATTTTATAAAGCAAAAACCCAGGAGCAAAATATTTGTGTTGGCAGTCACTGTATCTGGCCCATACAGAACACCACCGAGGGAATAATTGCCTCCTTGGGGATCAGGGAGCAATAGAGCTGTAGGCTGAGATGCTTGTTTATGTTTTTCTTTCCAAGTTACATTTCGAGAGGTTAGTGTTGTTTAATACCTGTGAAACTAGCTCCAAAGACACACAAATTCAGGATCTAATTCTCAAGTGATTTACTCCAGCGTAGCTTTGTTGATTCCAGTAGCATTGCTATTGCTTTATTGTTGTGTACACAGTATCAAAGCCAGGCCCCCTTTTTCAGGAGTCGGTCCTGCTGACCTTGAAACCTGTGGCCCTTCGGCTGTAGCGCTGAGGCCCTACGTGGGCAAAATCCCAGCGGTCCATTTCTATCTTACTGATTCACTTTTGCTCATGACTAGCACTGGCCGCAGTGGACTTGTGTCAAATGTACACAATTGTTAGGTAGACCTTGCCTATATAATTTTTTTTCCCCCTTATATCATCTTGGTATGATGGAAAGCTCCATTCGCACTCTGAAGCCATTTCATCTTGGTGGTACTCACAGGTTTGACTCTTGTGAGTACTTGTGAGTAACTCTTGGTTACTCACAGGTCATGGTTTAGCCTGGGCTCTTTTGAGTGGTCTAGATTACAGGAGAAGAATTTTCTTGTAATCACACACAGTTTCTTCTGCCACTACTCAGATCTCTGTTTTTAAGCATCTCTGATGTCTTAATGATAAAAAATGGATTTCCAGTTTTCCAGATTTTCTCACTGAAAGACAGATGCTTTGTTATTTTTTTTGTCTCCTTCAATATGAGAGTTAGGGCTGGTTTTTAAGCGAGGTAACCACAGGAAGTGCACCTTTGCCAGGCAGGGAGAATATTCGGCATCTTATTGAGATCTGGCTCTGTGTCTCTCGAGGAGGTTGCCTTCCCTTGTAAGAGAAGAGAATCATTTTTGTCATACGTGCTTCAGGGTTTGCTCTTTCATGGGGTGCTGGCACACAGAAAGCTTGATTTTTGCCAGGTACTGAGTGCCTTCTGCAAGGTATTGAGTGCCCTCCTATCCTTTGCAGCCAAAAAGGAGTTGATTGCTCTTGGCATCAGGCAAATCTGGACCCAGAAGACCACAGGTAGTATTTACCAATTATTTATGTGCTTTCGCATGCCAGACACTGTCTGAATTGATTTCCCTAGCATACAAGAGATTTCAGGCATTAATGACACTTGCCTGCCACTAAAACCATTATTTAAAAAAAAAAAAACCAATAATAAGCATGACATTTATTGCATTGCCATGGGGAAATTAAAACCCCCCCAAATTAACTACAGTCCAAGTAACTATTAGCTCTTTAGAGCTGTTGCGGATGTGTGAGTTACATGCCCCGAATGAGCACCATATGCCAATTTATTGTGGCACAGTGAGTCACAGGACACATTGTGAAAAGCAATAATTGCTTGGCATGCATTGTAACATTCAGTAGGGTTTTTTGTTTGTTTTTCTTAAAGGAATATGTTTTTACTCTTGACAATAAAATGAGTATCGTCTGATATGCTGCCACCAGGGACTGTTGCTTATTTTGTACTTAACCTGGAGCTTACCCATTTGTCACTCACTGCACACACCCTCTGTTATCTTTTCCTTTCCGACTGCTTGTATTGTGTGTGTGCAGTATCAGAATATGAAGATTGAACCTTCCATTTGTTATTGTCTTGTCATTTTCTGTTAATCCTCTTCTCCTTTTACCTCCTCATCTTCTTTCTTTGTCCAGTAGGGAAATTCAGGTTGATTTCAAGGAAAAAATGTTCACCTTGAGAGGAGTGAAGCAGTGAGATGAGTTGCACAGAGATTGTAGTCTCCACTCTTGGAGTTTTCAGAGCTTGACCAGATAAGGCCATCAGGAACCCAGTCTGATTTTGATTTTGGCCCTTCTTTGAGCAAGAGGCTGGGCTGTGTGACCTCCAGAAATCCCTTCTAACCTAAATTATTTTATGGTTCTGCTTAATACCTGGTTCCTGTTCTGATTCAGCCGGGGTGCTGTGTGTGTTGTTAACTCCTCACTCCCTGTTGGAGTCACTCTTATTCCTACCAGCATAGAACAGGAACGACCTCCTGAAGGACAATGAAGTTACAGTAGCTATCCTCATGTAGGATCAAAATCAAGATGTAAATGGTAACCTCAGATGAGATTAGTAGGTGAAATTTGAAATTAGTTAGAATTTTTACCAGTATTTCACTTGAGATCTCTTCAGGTCTTCATGAAGTGCCAACCAAAGTCATCAGTTGAAGAGCTGGATGCATAATTATATCAGGATGATATTAAAAAAGTAAACATCATCTTTTTTCCCTTTCAGTTACAAATCCCCTTCTCTAGCAGCCTTGAAGCGAGCTTTGGGGTATTTAGGATTTAGTGAGTCACCAACTGCCCTCACTCTGCTGTTACGTGCTGGTTTCCTCATGCGGCTGTAACCACGTGAGGGAGTTAATGCTGCACAGAGCATCTGCTCCTCAGCTAAATGCCTTCCCAGCCCTGCAGCTGTCTGCCAAAGAGCTTCGGACGTGCAGAGGGGCGTCTGCAAACTCTGTAGAGTAGCATATTTTCATGGGTTGGCCCATGTGCTAGCCAAAACCCATCCTTTGTCAGAATGTTATTTTAATTTTGCCTAAAGAAAGCAAAACCATGCAGAGTTTCACCATATCAGTCTAGTGAATTTTCAACAACAATCTAGCTATTAAAAAAAAAAAAAAAAAAGACGCTTCCAATTGTTAGGAAAAAGAAATACAGGACTAGTTTTGTAGGGTTGCTCTTTCCAGTCCACCAAAATAAGGTGATATTTCTTCATATCTCTCCTTTATCAGCAAGAAGTATATTGCTTATGCAAACACCTTATTTTCCATCATGCTCAATCAAAAGTAAAGTTTACGAATAGGGCTACCGTAGTGGCTTGAAGGAAGACTAAATGTGAGCAGCCAAAAGTGGTTTTTTGTCCCTTGTTATGCAAGTCATGATTCTAAAATTGGTATTTAACAGGACAGACATGCTTTCGTGTACTTTTTCTAGTGATTGCTGCCCTCCCTCTCCTGTAACCACGTCAATTCTTTCTCCTCATACAGATCCTCCTCACATGGTGTAGAGGGTTGCTCTTTCACATGTGAAAAAGTTGTTGCGCCATGTAGAGGGAATATAGTAGCAGAAGATAGTGTTGACTGGGAGGATTGAAGGTCCCTTCTCCTCCACTCTTCCTGCAGTACACAAGCTATACATGACAAGTGAAATTTAATAAATAACATTCACAGGAGGAATCTGATTTTGAATCACCTAGTTTCCTTCTTCTGCAAAACTATCAGAAGTTCATGTATCTGTTGTACACATGTCACTTCCTTACAAAAATCCAGAAAAGTAAACCTAAAGTTCTCTCACTTTCTACCATTAGTTTACATACAGAATGTTTTTATGGCTATCTCAGATGTTTGTCACGTACCCATCTGATGTTGGAACTGCAAACAGTTTCCCACCTGTCTGTAATTAGCTTTGCACACACACACACACACACAAAAAAAAGTAATGAAAAACAATTTTAGTCATGATGAAAACAGCTTTGGATATTAAAGGTTAATGTGCCACATTGGTATCTAGTGTAAGCATGTGCACTTAGTTGAAATTGCACTAAGAAAGATCCTCAACTGTTGAGCTTTATGAACTGCGTCTCTGAACTGGTCAACAGGAGTAGGTTAAGTTTACAGTAGTCAAGCTAGGACTATAAAAGCAACCTGCAATGAAAACCATCAGCTGGTGTTTGTTTGAAAAGATAAGAGATGGAGAAAAATACTCAGGCTGTTCATATATTGTCCTGCTATATTTGGGGATGCTCACCTGCAAAAACCAACAGAAAAACAAGTACCTGTAGGCTGTGGGATTGACACTGGTATCAAGATAGGGCTGCAGATACTTGTTTCTTGTATTGGAATCAGCCATGCTCTTACAAAATTCCCTTCGGAGGCAGCAATTCCAGGGTGAATTTGGTGGGGCTTCTGTCCAAGTAGTGTGTGGGATCAGGGTTTTGTTTGTGCTTGGTGTGTGCCCTGCACTTTGCAGACTGTGGTATGCAGAAGTGGTTTATGTGTTCATTTCCGTGGAGAAGTGAGGTCTGTTCTAGTGTTATTTGGTTTTCATATCTCTTGACATAAAAATGAGCGCAGCTCCCCATCTATGAGAGCTCACGTCAGAAGTCTGTGGCAAAAGTGAAGTGAAAATACACCTCTGATGGGAATCGGCCTCGATCATGTGATATTTAAAAGCATTTTAGTTTAGTGGTCTCTGCCAAAGGTTTTACTTCCAACTCAGACCTTCAAAACAGATGGGTAGTGATAAAAAATTGGTGACTTTCGATCAAATGAGGCTTATTGAGAGGCCTGCAGGACATAGCAGTATTCCTTCTGAAACTGAGCCCTCCAGGAGCGTGGCGAGTGGCCCTGGCCAGCCATGGAAACTCAGGGAACAGAGCTGCAGCCAGAGACCAAGCCAGGGTTGTTCTGGGATTAAACAAAATGTGCCAGTGTCCAGCGGGGCAAGGCAGCACCTGGCACCAGCTGCATAAAAGCAAATAAACACCATAGTGTCTACACAGCTTCGCTTTTTTTTTTTTGGTGTGTGTGTGTGTGAAAGTCTACAGCTCACTGACCTGTTTTGCAGAGTTGCGCTCTCTGTGAGCTTGTTCATCATCTTGCCACTTCTTCTTTTAGTATATCCTCTGCAGACACCCCCACCCCTCCCGTTTTGCTCTGCTTTATCAGTAGTTTCGATTTCATTTCCTGTGCGAAACTTCATATGGTTAAAGTTTCTGTTCCAGTTTTTTTTCTTGAAGGAAAGAAAACAACAACAGTAAATTAAACATCGGGGTGCTTAGGAAATCTCTGATGGCTGAAGGCCTGTGAGCAGCAGTGCCCTGGCTGAGCCCCGAAGTCACCCGAGTACCACAATTTGGTGGCAAAGGTCGTTGCTTCACCTTAGCTCCTCATCTTAAAAGTCTGCAGCTCATTCCTGTCACTGAATCGTACTTTTGCTGATGATTATTGCCAGCCTGGAGGAAAAATCAAGACCGAAATCAAAAGTAGCTCACTTATTAAGTTTTAGACTTTGTGGGTCTGTGCTCAGGGCTTTGTAACCTTCCCAGACTTTATAGCCCTGTAACGGGGCTAACATTGCTGATGGCGGGTGTGTAAGAGCTGTTTTCCTGGTACAAGTTGGCTGGCCATTTTCCACCCACAGTGCTGTGTTGCACAACTCTTCCTTCCATTAATGTATTCTAGAAAAAAAAAAAAATCAGGTGTTATGCAGATGGGGCAAAGGAACAAAGAAGAAAGGATTATTCTCCTCCACCGATGGTGTTGGGATCTAGATTTGTGGGAATAAGGTACTGTATGACATGTTTAAACAGCTGCCACAGGTGGGATAGAAATCAGTTATTGTTTAAGTTAAGATGAATGGATAGAGGCAATAAAACCACAACTCCATCTTTGTGTGGAGGTGGCCTAGGCAGGTATGGCAACAGCCTGGTTACAAAGCTGATCAAAGCCATCGGTGGATATGGAAAACATGGCTTGTTTTTCCAAAAACACATAATCTTATACATAGATCTGGTTTTTACTTAGTTGGAAAACATACTGAAACAGTACTGAAACATACTGAAAAAAATCTTCAATTATGAGAAAGCCCTGAACACTACCATTAGTAAACTCAGTAAACTTAAGGCTAAATTTAGAATTAGTTGAAAAAGCAGGTGAAGGTGGAATGATTTATTCCCAAGAAAAAAAAATAACTTTGAAATAATGAATTCGTACCTTTTATTGCACGTTTGCTTCACTAAATGGCTACTTTATTGTTTCTCTCCCCCGCACTGGGGCACTGCTCAGTTGCCGTAGCACAGAGATTGCTGTTTGACATTAACATGTGTTGCAAGTGCCTTGCAGATGTGTCACAGAGAATCAATACGTTATTAATCACATGCAAAAAATTCAATAGACACAGTGCACACCACTGACTATTTAAGTTCCTAAGCTTTGTGGGCTTTAAGGTTTTTGCCTTTTTTATAGCAGGATGAGGGACATCCCTTATAGATTTTGTTGTGGTTT